AAGTTTGCACAGCAAAGGAAGCCATCAAAAAATAAAAAGACAACCCACTAAATGGGAGAACATATTTGCTAATGATACATCTACTAAGGGATTAATATCCAAAACTTATAAAAAAATTTATACAACTCAACACCAAAAAAACAATTAAAACAACACACAAAATGACCCAATTAAAAAATGAGCAAAGGACCTGAATAGACATTCTCCAAAGAGAACATGCAGATGGTGAACAAATGTATGAAAATATGCTCAACATCAGTAATTCTCAGAGGAATGCAAATCAAAACCACAGTTATCATCAGCTCACACCTGACAGAATGGCTATCCTCAATAAATCAACAAATAACAAGTGTTAGCAAGGATGTGGAGTAAAGGAGACTCTCATGCACTGTTGGTGGAAATGCAGATTGGTGAATTCAGTGTGGAAAGTAATATGAAGTTACCTTAAAAACTTAAAAGTGGAACTACCTCATGACTCAGCAATGCCACTTCTGGGGATATATACAAAGAAACCCAAAACTCTAGTTTGAAAGAATGTATGCATCCCTATGTTCATTGCAGTGTTATTTACAAGATCCAAGATTTGGAAGCCCCCAATGCCCATCAGCAGATGAGTGGATAAAATAGCCATGGCACATTGACACAACAAAATTCTACTTGGCCATAAAAAAGAAGGAAATCTTACTTTTTGAAACAGCATGGATGGACCTATAAAGTATTGTGCTAAGTGAAATAAGCAGTCAGAGAAAGACAATTACTATGTGACTTCATTTACATGAGGAATCTAATGAACAAAATAAGCTAACAAAGAAAATAGAAACAGATGCATAGACACAGAGAATAGACTGAGAGTTGTCAGAAGCATGTGGTGTTGGAAAGCTTAGTGAAAAAGATGAAGGGATTAAGCAAAAAAAAAAATCATAGATAGACAATGGTATGGTGAAGAAAAGGCAGGCGAAGTTGAAGAGTATGAATGAGGATAAATGGTGATGAAAGGAGACTTGACTGTGAATGATAAACATACAATACACTCACTGTACATACAAATGATGTATTATAGAAATACATACTTGAAACCAATATAATTTTACCAATGTCACCTAAGTAAATTTAATAATAAATAAATAAAATAAATCAGCCTTAATAATTTTTCAATCTGCATTATTATTACATGTCATTGCTGCTAAGTTTAGAAGCAAATCTCCAAAAGATACATTTTAAAACTTTACATTTCTATTTTGACAATTCATTTTCAACACTAGAGCTCCCTCATGGTCCCAACATTTCCTCATTTGATGTGGAAAGGGTTCTTTTGGCTATGTGAGTGCCATGTCATGGATTCAACTCCCACATGGTAAAATTCATTATAACCCTCAAATGTGCTTTGTGATATTTAATATACACACACACCACCTATAAACTCTAAGTTATACTTCTCACTAAACAGATAAGAAAAATGGACCAGTTTACTCCAACAAGACCTTACTAGTGGTTGGTGGTAAACCAGGAATCTTTTTATATGTGATCAATTCATCTTATCACTGAATGTGGTAGCCACTGTATTTGTATTATCACAAGTCTGTTACCACAACAAACAGAACAACTCACTGAGCATCCCTGATTGATAATTAACCCAAATTTCATTCCTGATATAAAATATTATTAAACTTCCCTTCACTAAGGCAAAGACTGTTTTTATAACCTAAAGATATTTACACTTATCTCAAATGTCCCATGTACCTGTTTCATTGTATTTCTGTACTTACAAATACATGATAAAAATACAAATGATTATAATATAAATATCACAGCAATAAAAATCTGTTGGCCTGTAAGAGGCTTGACAGTATCCTTAATATTATTCAAAAACATGCCAGCAGGAAAAGGCTTACTTTTTGTTAATGTTGAAATTTATCTCAGTCATTGGAAGTTTTTTCTGAAAGCTCTCAGCATTTATTATGAATGGTGAGTCACAACTGAAAATCTTTGTAACAAATAAACAGAAGAGACACTGTCTAAATTGAGAGAAGATAGAGGGATAGAAAGGGAAAATGGGAAGAAAATCAGATATATTAGATCAAACAGAAGAAAGTATAAGTAGATTTTATCCCATATTTTGAATAGCTAAACAGAGTTATGCCCTTTGTGATCCTTTTGTTTCTTTTATTTCTTCCCATCATTCAATCACATTTTCAATACAAATTATCGTATTATTTTGCAGAAAACACTTTGTGTCCCTTGGTGGATTTATTCATCTAATTAATGTTTTAAAAAGAATTACTGAAAGCAAATATTGCAAGAAATAATTTCCAAACTGAAATTTATACACTTGAAAGCTGATTCCTACAAAAATGATTTGGCTCTATAAAAAAGAAGCAATCCATCAGCTCCCCAGACGCAGAAAGCCTGGTAGGATTTCTTTTTCATAGGAAATTACTGCTATGACTGATTCTTGTTAACCTAAGGCGGAAAAAAATCCAATGGCATAGCCTAATCAGAGACTGGAACAGAATGTTCTATTGTCTGACATGGTTATCTTTGTGTAGTAGTTGAAAGACAAATTAAATGTGTTAGAACCAAGTGAAATATTCATTTTCCCTCTTAACTTCACAAGGCTACCTCATTTTAACTGAATTACTACTAGGTTCCTTTGCCCCTTAACTCCTCTCACATCCTGATAATGAAATATATATTCCATATTTCATTTTTATTCTGACGCACAGTGGAACACTCTCTACTGATGAGAATTAATGAGTTCTGTTCCAATATTCCTGCCTAACAGTATTTGCTACCTCTGCCATCCTCTCAAGCCATTGTATACTGCTAAGGGCTGTCTCAGACAGAACTCCCTGTCATATAACCCTTTTGCATGTGGCCTTTTCTAGAGAGTTGTTTTGATCACCACGACCACCTTCCCAGGAGGCTCTTACTGGCTCTCACGCAGGGTGGAGACAAGATGAAAATGTTTATATCTCGTAGCCTATTTTGCTGGTTGTATTTACTTGTGTTCCTAAGTAAGCCATGTTATATCTTTCAGTGGAAAATGCAAAGGTCCAGAACATTCCTAAAAGTTAAGGCTTCTGAGTTACAGAATTTTCTGTAAATTAAATTTTCTGATTTCCTAGGTTTACTAAACATGCAGATAGTATTTTAGGACTTCCAGCCAAGATGGAGGCGTAGGTGGAAACACTGTGCCTCCTCACACAACCATGTTTAAAGACAACAAAGTTTTAGTAACAAGAACACAACCAAAACACAGAAAATTGAACCATACGGAAGTTCAACAACAAACTGTTCAGCCAGACTGGTAAGAGGGGCGGAGCCAGCGGCCAGGGGAGCAGGGTCAAGCAGGAAAAATTGGCCAGGGGAGCAGGGTCAAGCAGGAAAAATTGGTCAAACTGACCCACTTCACGCAGGCAGCAGTTGGCAGATCCCAGGCATGGGGTGGCAACAGGCAGACCCAGTGAGGGCTCAAGATAGCTGACTGACCATGGTCACACATTCATGCACAGATAAACCAAGTGGAGGAGCAAGCAGTGAGACAGACCAAGCAGGCCCCAGCAGCTTGTGGGAAGCAGCAGAGGGGACCACTATTGCCCCTCTCTGACCCTGCCCCCACATACAGCATCACAAACCAGCCAATGGGTTGCCCCACGCCGGTGAACATCTAAGCTCCACCCCTCATATGTAACAGGCATCAACAGACCAAAACATTATGGATCAAGAATAGCTCAAAGCCCCAGAGCCAATAATTCTAAGCAACCAAGAGATAGCCAACCTATCAGATGCACAGTTCAAAACACTGGTGATCAGGATGCTCACAGAACTGGTTGAATTTAGTCACAAATTAGAGGAACAAATGAAGGCTAAACTAATTGAAATGAAGGGAAATGCACAGGAAACCACAGGAAATGTAATGGAAAGGAAACTGGGACTCAAATCAAGGGAGTGAACCAGAAGGAAGAAAAAGTTGACCAAACAGAAAAATATGAAGAAACAAGAATTCAAAAAAATGAGGAGAGGCTTAGGAACCTCCAGGACATCTTTAAAGGTTCCAACATCTGAATTATAGGAGTACCAGAAGGGGAAGAGGAAGAGCGACAAGTGGTAAACTTATTTGAACAAATAATAAAGAAGAACTTCCCCAATCTGGCAAAGGCAATAGACTTCCAGGAAGTCCAGGAAGCTCAGAGAGTCCCAAAGAAGGTGGACCCAAGGAGGAACGCACCAAGGCACATCATAATTACATTAGCCAAGATCAAAATGAAGGAGAGAATCCTAGAAGCAGCAAGAGCAAAGGGGACAGTCACCTACAAAGGAGTACCCATCATACTGTCAGCTGATTTCTTGGAAGAGACCTTACAGGCAAGAAGGGGCTGGAAAGAAGTGTTCCAAGTCATGAAATCCAAAGACCTACATCCAAGATTGCTCTATCCAGCAAAACTTTCATTTAGAATGGAAGGGCAGATAAAGTGCTTCCAAGATAAGGCCAAATTCAAGGATTTCATCATCACCAAGCCCTTATTATATGAAATGTTAAAGGGACTTATCTAAGAAAAAGAAGATAAAAAACATGAACAGTGAAAGGATAGCAAACTCACAGTTATTAACAACCACGCCTAAAACAAAAGCAAACTAAGAGGACAGCTAGATCAGGAGCAGATCCATAGAAATGGAGATCTCATGGAGGGTTAGCAACAGTGGAGTGGGAGGAGGAGAAGGGGGGGAGAAAGTATAGAAAATAAGTAGCATAAATGGTAGGTAGAAAGTAGACAGGGTGCAGGGCAAGAATAGTATGGGAAATATGGAATCTAAAGAACTTGTGACACATGGACATAAACTAAAGGGGGGGAATTATGGGCAAGGGGGTGTGCAGGGTGGAGGGAATGAATGGAGGGGAATAGGACAACTGTAATGGCATAATAAATAAAATGTATTTTTAAAAACATGCAGATAGTATTTTAATTTTATTGTTTTTCCATTACAGTTTACATTCAATATTATTTTGTGTTAGCTTCAGGTGTACAGCAGTGGTTAGACAATCATATAGTAGACAATAGTTTTAAATGTCACAAATCCTTTTCCTCAATCATCAACAGGAAGTGTTCGTCACATAGTGAACGAGTGAACTTAAACAGTGAACATTGCAAGAGCCACCTTTCTTCCCTTCCCTCTTCTCTCATCCGGATAAGGTTGTAGGAATGGAAAGGATTCTTCACAGAGTTCTCTGGCAGACTGTATCACAGAAGAAAATGATAGATTAGTTCATGGGTTTTCTTAAATTCAAGAAGTAAGACTCTGTTTTCCACATTAAGGTCTCTCTACAGCAAGAACTTCTAAAACAGAAATAATATTATTTCAGTGTTCTTTTTGAGGAGTTGACTATGAAGCTAACTGTTCTTATAGGAGCTCAGATGGCAGTTGTATTTGATGAAACATCAGCAGTGTGGTAGGAAATTCTTAGAACCTTAAACGTGAGCATTTAAACTTGTAACACTTACCATGTGGTGCTGGTTCATGTTATTTTTCATCTAAGAAATTAGAAACTCAACCCCGGCTGGTGTGGCTCAATGGATTGAGAGCAGGCCTGGGAACCAAAGGGTCACTGGTATGATTCCCAGTCAAGGCACATGCTTCAGGTCCCCAGTAGGGGGCGTGAGAAACACAACCACACATTGATGTTTCTCTTCCTTTTTTTGTTTTGCTTCCCCTCTGTCTAAAATAAATTTTTAAAAAAATAAAAGAAATTGGAAACTCTTTCTGTTGCTATTGCACTAATGAAGTAGGTGTTTATTTTCTGGTAAAAAGGACTGTCCACTGATTTTTCCAAAGAGACCTTACAGGCAAGAAGGGGCTGGAAAGAAGTATTCCAAGTCATGAAATGCAAGGACCTACATCCAAGATTGCTCTATCCAGCAAAGCTTTCATTTAGAATGGAAGGGCAGATAAAGTGCTTCTCAGATAAGATCAAATTTAAGGAGTTCATCATCACCAAGCCCTTATTATATGAAATGTTAAAGGGACTTATCTAAGAAAAAGAAGATAAAAAATGTGAACAATAAAAGGTCAGCAAACTCACAGTTACTGAAAACCACACCTAAAACAAAAGCAAACTAAGTGGACAGCTAGATCAGGAGCAGAGCCACAGAAATGGAGATCACATAGAGGGTTAGCAACAGAGGAATGGGAGGAAGAGAGAAGGGGAGAAGGTATAGAGAATAGGTAGTAGCATAGACAATGGGAGGGCAAGAGTAGGAAGTGGGAAATGTAGAAGCTAAAGAACTTATGACACATGGACATGAACTAAAGCAGGGGAATGTGGAGGGGAGAGTGTGCAGGATGAAGGGGGAAATAGGACAACTATAATGGCATAATCAATAAAACATTCTTTTAAAAAGTGATGTATTTAAATGATAAATCACGATTCAGTGCTTTTTCTACATTTCAAATAAACTATGCATTTAATTGTGACCTAGAAACAATGCATGGCTCTGAAGTTCAAAATTTGTCCACCTTCCAATGACTGGCTATATGACCTTGAGCAAAGTACTACCTACCCTCACTTCCTTCTTTTGTAAAGTTGAGATGATGATATAACTACTTCTTACTGCTACTATTAGAATTAACTGAGATAATACATGTAAAGCACAAAATACAGTGTATTTCAAGGAGTTAGACCTCCATTAAGTGTTACTTTTCACAATTAATTACAATGCTGTAAGTAAAAAATATCTTGATATATTATTCTTTAATTTGTAGGCATAATATGAAGTCACAATATGAAGTTTTTTATACCAATTTTCAAAAAATATTCTTTATGGTTACTGATTTACTTCAGATGAACTCTCAAATTATTCCTATTGTTTTCCCCCTCGTGTGCCTGGCTGGGGATCAAACACATGAACTTTCAGTTCCTGGGATGACTGATGCTCTGACCAACTGAGCGACATGGCCAGGGCTCGTCTGCTTATACTGAATGGAACTTGGTGTTTTCATTTTTGCTTAAAAAGAGTATGTCTAGTGATATCAAGGCTTAGTCTTCTTCATGAAATGAGTAGCTAGTGATATCGTTGTTTCTTTTTATACTGGTGAAATCAACATTTTCTCATTCTACCTCCTGAATACAGCACCAATTAGACTTTTTGAAAGACATTTGCTTACAAAAGTAAGTGAATTCATTTTCCTCTCAGTCATAAGTCAAATCTTCCTGGGAATCTTGTACTTTTTTTTACACTATTCCCATTCCTTATTCAACATTTCAGAGAGAATTGGCTTTGATATTATAATGTCTGTGCCTAGTGATTGTTTGTTTTAAAAAAAAGACCTAATTAAAGTCTTCTGTGAAACAATTCAAAATTTCTCAGTTTCTGCCTAATTTGAGGAATATTTATTTCATACAATTCCCATTCATCCACAGGGAACTTGTTTATAAGAACTGAGACTAAAGGTGGTCATTCAAAGCAAGCCCTTTCTGCTATCCCAGCAGGCCATGGGGTATAAGGCAGGATGCTGACCTCAGCGGTCCCTCTGTTAATTAGCATTGCCCAGATCCTGTTTTTTATTCACATTTAATGCTTATTTCATGTACCTTACACTTTCTTTTTCCCACATTATGCACAAATTTTACATGTCTGCCTTTGATACCTGAGCTAATACTCTCCCCAGAATGACTATTCTTATAGAAATACATACCATGGTTTGTTGTTTTCTTATTAACAGTTCTCTATCCTATATACTCTTTTCTAAAAAATATTTTTTAAATATTTTATTTATTTATCTTTAGAGGGGAAGGGAAGGAGAGAGAGAGAAATATCTATGTATGGTTGCCTCTTGTGTGTCCCCTGCTGGGAACTGGCCTGCAACCCAGGCATGTGCCCTGACTGGGAATCAAACCACGATACTCTAATTCACAGGCCCGCGCTCGATCCACTGAGCTACACCAGCCAGGGCCCTACAACTCTTTTTTTAAGACAGTCCATCCACCGCCACACTTGAATGTTTTGTATTTCACCACCCACACATATAGGTGCAAGAATTGTAAAATAAGAATTTCTTGTTCCCTCTTGTATACAACAACAAAATAACTGCCTGGTAGAATTCAATACATACATATTGCTCTCATTCATTGTGACCAGACCTACATTAAATTATGTTTTATTTTTAAAAAAAGAACTGTGTAATGATAAAAACTAAGAAAATAAGTAATTTAGCTCTCTAAAACAAAACAAAACAAAAAACCTTATTCTATTGTCATTCTTCCTGTTAAATTTTTGTATTGGGAAGAGTTTTTATGCTGGTTTCTTAGCACAGTGAGAGATAGAATTGCTCATTCCTATTAAAAAAACTTTAAAGCCTAAAATTAGTGTGTACTTCCATAAAAAGAGTATTTATGTTATTTGGGTTTAATTTTATCTTTTATTTTTGTTTCCATCTTTATCTGTGAGTAGCATTCAAATCTGCACACTGCTCCCAGAGACACTATGCTGATGATGTCACATTTTCTCCTTCATTCTTTACCATCAACATAATTTTGTTATTCAAAATATGTACGTGTGTGTAATAATTAACATGGAATGCATAACTATATATACATATATTGAATTTCTATGTGTTCATTTTAATGTGAAAAGTACATAGGAATCTTGAAAGTACTTATACACAGAATGGTTCCATGTTCTCAAATATTTTTTACCATGGCTATAGTTAACACACTCACTAGGAAAATGCTGATAAACCCAGGACAATATGATAACCCTCTTTTTCTAAATTTTTTTAATATATTTTATTGATTATGCCATTACAGTTGTCTCATTTCCCCCCTTTTACTCTCCTCCACCCTGCACACCCCCTCTTCCCTGTTCCCCCCCTTTAGTTCATGTCCATGAGTCATAAGTTCTTTAGCTTCTACATTTCTCATACTATTCTTGCCCTCCCCCCTGTCTATTTTCTACCTACCCTCTATGCTACTTATTCTCTGTACCTTCTCCCCCTTCTCCTCCTCCCACTCCCCTGTTGCTGACCCTCCATGTGATCTCCATTTCTATGGTTCTGCTCCTGATCTAGCTGCCCTCTTAGATTGCTTTTGTTTTAGGTGTGGTCGTTAACAACTGTGAGTTTGCTATCCTTTCACTGTTCATATATTTAACTCCATTTTTCATAGCTAAGTCCCTTTAACATTTCATATAATAAGGGCTTGGTGATGATGAACTCCTTGAACTTGATCTTATCTGTGAAGCACTTTATCTGCCCTTCTGTTCTAAATGAAAGCTTTGCTGGATACAGCAATCTTGGTTGTAGGTCTTTGGTTTTCATGACTTGGAATACTTCTTTCCAGCCCCTTCTTTCCTGTAATGTCTCTTTTGAGAAATCTGCTGACAGTCTGATGGGAACTCCTTTGTAGGTGACTGTCCCCTTATCTCTTGCTGCTTCTAGGATTCTCTTCTTCATTTTGATCTTGGCTAATATAATTATGATGTGCCTTGGTGTGTTCCTCCTTGGGTCCACCTTCTTTGGGACTCTCTGAGCTTTCTGGACTTCCTGGAAGTCTATTGCCTTTGCCAGATTGGGGAAGTTCTCTTTTATTATTTGTTCAAGCAAGTATTCCACTTGTTGTTCTTCCTCTTCCCCTTCTGGTACCCCTATAATTCGGATGTTGGAACCTTTAAAGATGTCCTGGAGGTTCCTAAGCCTCTCCTCATTTTTTTGAATTCTTGTTTCTTCATATTTTTCTGTTTGGTCAATTTTTTCTTCCTTCTGGTTCACTCCCGTGATTTGAGTCCCAGTTTCCTTTCCATCACTATTGGTTTCCTGTGCATTTCCCTTCATTTCAATTAGTTTAGCCTTCATTTGTTCCTCTAATTTGTGACTAAAATCAACCAGTTCTGTGAGCATCCTGATCACCAGTGTTTTGAACTATGCATTTGATAGGTTGGCTATCTCTTGGTCAGTTAGAAGTATTGTCTCTGGGGCTTTGAGCTGTTCTTGAGCCATAATGTTTTGGTCTGTTGAAGCCAGTTACATATGAGGGGCAGAGCCTTAGGTGTGCACCAGGTTGGGGTAACCCAAGTGGCTGGGTTGTGATGCTATATGTGGGGGCGGGGCAGAGAGAAAAAAATGGCACTTTACTCCACTCTCTGTTGCACCTCAGTCCCTTCCTCTACTTCCTCACAGCAAACTGGGCCTTTCTGGTGCTGATTCCTGTGTGGATGGGCTTTTGTAAGTTCTAGAACCCTGTGGGTCTATGCAACATACTTTTCTGTGAGGGTTGGAGTCTCTCCCTGCACTTCCACATATATTTTGAGGTGCAAGTGTTTTCAATTGGTGTTTTGAGGCTTTATTTCCCAGCACTAGGACCCTGGGTTGTACCATCTGTCTCGCTCGCCAGTTATCTGCACACAAATGTGGGATGGTGGCGTGGTCAGCCAGCCACCTTGCGCATGGTACTCGGCTTCTTGATCACTGCCTCACTGGGTCTGCCTGTTGCCACCCTACATCCGGGGTCTGCCACTCACCCCCTGGGTGCCCAGGGTCTGCTCAGTGCCACCTTGCATGCCCAGGGTGCCTTGCACGCCTGGTGTCACCGCTTCCTGTGCTGCAACCCCTCTCCACTCAGCCACTGGACTCCCCCCCACCTACCAGTCTGGATGAATATGTCTATTTTAACTCCTTGGTTGTCAGACTTCCATATGGTTCCATTTTCTTTCAGTTTTGGTTGTTACTTTGTTTCTGAATTGTTGTTGTCCTTATTTTGGGTGTTCGAGGAGGCATGGTATGTCTGTCTACCTACACCTCCATCTTGGCCGGAAGTCATGATACCTTCTTTAGCTGTGATTTTCTCCATGCCCTAGAAAAGCAAGACAAACTAAACATCACTCTAATTTTATATACTACTATTAAACATACAATGATATTATCTCACTTAAAATTTGGGTTATGGTAATAAAATAGTTCCAAATAATTTGTTTCATAAGCAAAATGTAGAATGATTTTGTCATTTTATTTAGATTTGAATAACATGTTATCTTGAATTTATATATAGGTTAGTATCGTATGGGCTTTACATCTTTTTTTATTTATCCATTCACATTTATATATTCTTTACCTCATCTCATTTTTTTAGCTACCTGGAATTCTTTCTGAAATATGGGATAGTATAAATAAATTAATAAAGTACATTTTGTAATGCTTTTCAAGTAGAAAAGTTTTTAACTGTGGAGCAATCTTATAATAAATTTATGAACTATGGAACAACATATCTTACAAAACTAATCACCTTAGGAATTTATTCCTATATTTTGTAAGTTGAAGTATTTTCCTCAAGAGGGTTCTAAAGGTCCAGATTTGGGGTAGGTAGTGAAAACCTTCACCCAGTTTAAAACTCAGGGCTGTGACAAGAAAGATGAGTCCCATACTAACTGGGTGTGGCATTCATTCCAGGCACTCTCAACTGGATTATAAGTTATAGCCACTATGTCTCTGATCCAGACACAGCAGGCAGGCAGGGAACCCACCCTTCAGGGAAGACGCTTCCCCTGACTAGGGAGAACAGCTGAGTCTACACCAAATGACCTCTTGTTCTGAGTCCTGGCTCAGAAAGACTGAGAGATCCCCTAAGAACAAGCAGCAGTCAACCCTTTAGAGCCAACAATAGCATTTGCTCCTAAAATTTAACGTATATGCTGAGAAAAGTGAAGAGAAAATATTAAAAGATATAAAAACTTTTCAACACATAAATAAATGTCTCATAGGGTGTTCCTTTTATGAATTACTTGTCTATAAATAAAACATAAGGATCAGCATCCTTCTAAAACAAAAATACATAAACCTTGTTTCAGAAACAACTAGTTTCAGAAGAGATGTAATTGCTTTGGATACCATCTGAAGATTGTTAAAATCTTCCCAATGATACCAGTTTGGCAAATAATCAGCCTGTGAAGAAATATGTTTTTTATTCATTGGTATGCATTAGGAGATGTCTATGCACTAAAAAAAAAAAAAGAAGGAAAGAAAAATAATACAAACTAAATTGATAAAGGAGTGTGATCTACCAAGACTCTTAATGTTAAGTTGATTGGAATTGTTCTTTGAGAAAATTCAATAGCCTTTTAAATTAATAATTATATTTATTTGGTAAGCCTTACACTGAAGATACAAATCAGTAGCTGGGTCCCAGAAAAAGACTGAGTTCTCTTTATGTTTTGCCTTTTATTGTCAATGCATTGAGAATAGTTGTCTGCTTGCTGCGATTAAGAAAAGAGAGGCCTTTGCTGTTGGCAAAAGCTATGTCAGATTTATTTTCTACAAATAGCAGTGTTAAGGGACTTTGAAATAACTACCAACAATCACCTTAAACCACTGCAACATGGGTTACAGACACCTGAAACTTCCATTGCTTATAAAATCACGATCTTCAAAAGTAGTGCCTATTGGATCACTTGTCTCTAAACTCCATCACTAAAAACAGTAAGCTAGATTCTCAGCTCAAAGAGTTCTTTTCTTCTTTTGAATCTCAGAGAATGAAAACCTGACCCACTATGTAAATACTCACTAGTACATCCTTTAAAATGTACATTGGATTGTATACAGTTTGTGCTTTGAGGTCTTTTTTTTCTTTATCATGTCCAATAGAGATCTCTGAGAATAGTAACTTAGCCCTCACAGCACTACCATTTTCCAGGATGCCTGCCAAGTGAGTACTTAGGAGGATGGCCTCTGGGCTGGGAGGAGAGCGTTATCCTCTATCTGGACACTAGACACAATCCGGGAGGGTCCCCAGAGGATAGGTTCTGTTATCTGATAGCTCTTTTCCATTTCTGACTAAATAGATGTCAGGAGTTTCCAAGGAGTTAATATTTCAATTTAGACCAATAAATATACCTCTTTAGAAGCTTCCTTGAATTTAGCACATCATATTTATATTATTTTTAGTTTCTTATTCTCATAAATGTGGATTCTATAAATTATTTCTGTAATCAGAAAAGAAAATACAGATTTTCAACCCTTCATTGAAACCAATTAGCAATCTCCCAGTGCCACTCTGTCTGTGTTCATAAGAAAAAAGAAGTGGTCCACTTCTTCCCTATGGAACTTGACATATTTATAGAATTTTGAGTGCCTCCAGGATCCTATTTTATCAAAATCATAATGTTTTAAAATAATATTTTTCCTTTCTATGGTTTTTTCATTTAATTTGGTTTGTGTTATTTTTTAAAAGTCACTTTACACAACTATTATTATATTTTTTGACTCCAATCCAACATGGCAAGAAAATCATAGTGACATTTATGATTTAGGCAAAGGTTTACAACCCTCACTGCAATAAGTTAGAAAATTTTGCTCTAGTACTGAAGCCAGGGCCTCATACCCAGTCTAGGTCAGAACCCTAGCATTTATATGTTTTTAAAACTTTTAAATAATTTTATTACTTAAACAATTGTTGTCTATGCTCCAGGTATTCTTCTGCAGCCAAGGCTGAGAACTATGAACTTAGTGCCTAAAGAACTGAGATGCCTTTCTACATGTAAGTGATTTCCAAAAACAGAGTGAACTGTGATAGTGAAGCTTCACAAACTATTTTTTAAAGTCTTGTTATAAGGTTTAATGATAAACTGTATACAGAGTGTCAAAAGATATTCCCTACACTGTAAGAATGTTTCCCACTCCCAGTGAATAATGGGACTCTTACCTGACTTCTTTGTATTTCTCTTCTCCTGCACTCCCTATATTGTGGCGATTTCATAGCCATTAGCAATTGAATCAAGAGGTAGGGAAGAAAAAGGACAAAGTAAGGGGGCAAGGGTGGGGGGAGTAACACTTGATGAGCTAAACCTACCAGGAGTCAGCACTGTCATCAACTGTTTTCTTTTGTCTGTTTAACCACTGTGAAATGTATGATCTGTGTTATGGGTTAGAAAACTACTTCAAAATTATTGTGCAGTTTTCCAGTTTTACATCGCTATTAAATGGTGGAGGAAGCATTTTAACCCAGGAGTCTCTGGCTCATAATGAATGTTATTTTCACCAGCTCCCCCCAAAAATCAAAGATTTTCTTTTGTTATTTTTCACTAGCAATGGTAAAAAGGGAAGAAAAAAAAGGAAAGGTAGATCTGAAAAAATACTTCAGGAGTTTTGTGATTATTTTGGGACTTGAAGCCACTGAATTTTCATGCCACCATACACAATGACCACTTGATTTTATGGTAGCGCAAAAAGTCAGCTGCTGCAACACATTGCAAACCATGGGGTTGAGAACAGTGGTGTATGTCAGTGCAGAGAGCACAGCAGAGAGAAAATTGCACCTTACCTGACACTACAGCTGCTGCAGTGCAGCTTCTTCTGACTCCATGGCCTCACTGGAGGACAATCTGCCAAAAGAGAGATGAGAAATTAGGAAGAGCATACAGGAAAAAAGCGAATTCTTACATCATGTCAATGAACCACAAAGCCTAGGATATTTTGATTAACTTGCTCTATACTTTAAAAATAATTAAAATGCTCTTTCTCATTCTCCACCACCCTCCTCTTGGTAGATAGCTCTCACTTCTCCAGATTGAAGGAACACTTGGACAGACTCTGTGTGTGTGTGTGTGTGTGTGTGTGTGTGTGTGTGTGTGTGTGTAACAAAGACACAAGAGACCTCTATTAATCCCTACAATCTAGCATTGTGAGTATAGGAAGAGAAAAAAATCTGAACTCAAACTCCCATGCCACATATAGAACTTGCATAAGAACCTAGCTCCAGAGATCCAATAAAGCAATGGAACAGGTGAATGTTATATTCACCTCATCCCAGGACCAAACTGGAATTACAACTATAATGCAATCAACCTGAATGAGCAACTGATGACTAACTGAAAAGAAGTCTTACACCAGGGATTTATGAGAGAAGACACAGAGACTGGTAGAAAGGTCAGAGACACAAAAAGGGCTGGCCCTGCACCCACCAGCAGCAGCTGAGGTTCTGGAAGAAACCTGAGGAGCATGGGATTTCAACCTCATACAAGGCTCCCTAGCCCAGAGCACCAGAGCCAGGAAATCACCCACATAAAATCTAGTTGTGAAAAGTAGCAGGGATTCTATCCGACAAGGAGAGACAAGAGTTTGCTAGAGACACAGTCATCCTCTTAAAGGGCCAATGCACAAATCTCATGCACAAACATGCACCCTGGGCTCTGGCAAAGGGAGAGTAGAGCAGACTAGAGTCCTACAAGGAAAGACTGGGGTTTGTGGCTTTGCGGGGAAAGCTAAGGGGACAGGCCCTGGGCACCCTATGCTGAGTTACTCTCCAGTACTGCAGAAGTCATCTTTCTTAGGCAAAGCATGTCCCTCCTTATAGCATCAGCTGAGGAAATGCAATAGCCTCAACTCTGCAGAACTTGCATCCTGCTGAGAAGTCAGCTGCCTGGGCTATGGTGTAGAGATCCAGGAAGATTCAGGAGGCTTCAGTGACTGAGTTGTGTGGTTTGGGGTAGGGGCCATTCCCCCCACCTTCCCAGGAACCTGAATAGAGCTTCTGCATCAGGGGTGTCTGCTAGCCTGACTCTCCTGGATCCTGGTGACCCTACCCACCCAACTCCTCATGGCTCCTCCTGGCCAAGGTCTGACCAGAATCCAGGACAGACTGAGTTATGTGGTTCTACAGCAGAAACCACCCCTCAACATTCCCCCAAGACTGACTGACACCTCCTACTCTCCTGACTCCCATCAGCTCTGCCCTGCTCAGACCTGACTCCTGGAATAATCTGAAACAGACTGAGCTGTATGGCTCTAGGATGGGGAATTTTTTCCTTCAAGTGCCCCAGTGATACAGAGCCCTCCCTTCTCACAACCAAACCTTGGTGAGTTTGAGCCTGATAAACACTTCTTGCTTCACCCTGATGACTCCCCAAGACTCTGTCCCACCACAGAAGTGTGTAAACACCCAGCAGGGAGTAGGTAGACTTGATATACCCTGGGATATTTGCTGAGTGGCCCAGACCCAGCACTGTCATTGACTTTAAATCTGTATAGATCTGGTGAAAGCCCATTGCCACTACCTGGTTACTCACTGAGAACATAGCTCATGGAACTTGAGGACTACCAGAAGCTCTCTCAGTGACTCAGACTAACATACAGCTGGCAGGAGGATGCAGACGTAGACATATATTGAGGTGCCTATGGACTTTTGCTTACCTGCCCCTGGGCCCAGTGCTGGTAAAAGTCAACCTTGATTGGCAACTTGATCCTTCCTGCACACACACTGGCCCAGCAGAAATGACACAAACTGTGTATCACACTATAACTCCAAATAAGTTGCTCAGGGCCAGTCACAAGCAATGTTTACTATTGGCCTGCACAAGAATTCATCCCAAGAGGCCCCAGAACAGATACACCCAGTGGCCAACTTTAGACAGCAAGGGAGCAGGATCCAGTTAGCTTCACAAGCAACTAATCCAAAGGGATATCTCAGCAGACACCAAAAACTGCTAAGGCAAATTCCCCTGTGGTCACATACTGTGGTTGGGGTTGAATCTCACAATCAGCCAGCCTGAGGATTCTCCCCATACATAAATGGACCAATAGCAATTAAGCTAAATTACAACAGAAGGGTCCACATAACCCACATAAAGGACATTCCTGGATCATCCAGCTTGAGCGATCAAGAGGACTGGGTCCTGTGTGACACCTACTATACAAAGCCACCCTACCAAGACTGGGAGACATAGAAGGTCTATGTAATACATAGAAATAAATACAAAGGAATAGCCAAAATAGGGAGGCAAAGAATTATACCCCAAATTAAATAATGGAAGAACTCTCCAGAAAAAAAAGCTAAATGTATTGAAGGCAAGCAGTTTACCGGATATGGAGTTCCAAAGAATGTTTATAAGGATCATCAAGACTTAGTGAGCTCTACAAAGAACTTGGTGAGAACTATAGCAACATGAAAAGGACATAGACACCATAAAAAGGAACCAGTCAGAAAGAAAGGATAGGATATATATAAAATGAAGTTTGCACTAGAAAAATAAACAGTAGGTTGGATGAGGCAGAAACAAGTCAGTGATTTGGAAGACAAGGTAGCAGAATACACCCAATCAGGGCAAAAAAAAATTAAATGAAGATAGTTTAAGGGACCTTTGGGAAAACATGAAACATAACAAATTAGGGACTTCCAGCCAAGATGAAGGCATAGGTAAACACACTGTGCCTCCTCACAAAACCAAAAGAAGGACAACAACAATTTAAACACAAAAAACAACCAGTACTGACAGAAAATAGAACTGTATGGAAGTGTGACAAGCAAGGAGTTAAAGAACAAACATTCATCCAGACTGGTAGGAGGGGTGGAGTCCGGCAACATGGTGGAGAGGACTCACTGCAAGGCAGGAACTGGCTGAGCAGGCAGTCCCACATTTACGTGCAGATAAACCGGAAGGAACACCTGGGAAGCAAGACAGACCTTGCAACCCTGGGTCCCAGCTTGGGGAGATAAAGCCTCAAACCTATGACTGAAGAGGTGGCACTTGTGGGGGATTCAGGTGGCAGCAGCAGAAACTCCCAGCCTCACAGGAGTGTTTGTTGAAGAGACGCAGAGGATCCTAGAATGTACACTAACCCACCCACGCAGGAATCATCACCAGAAGGGCCCACTTTGCTTGTGGGTAGTGGGGGAAGTGACTGAAAGCCAGCAGAGAGCAGAGCAAGTACCATCATTCCCTCTTGGACCCCTCCCCTACATACAGCATCACAATGCAGCAATGTGGGTTGCCCACTCTGGTGGACACCTAAGACTCTGCCCCTCATTAGTAATAGGCATGTCAAGAGGAAAAAAAAAAAACAGCCCAAATGAAAGAATGGATCAAAGCTCCAGAAAAAATACAACTATGTGAGGAAGAAGTAGCCAACCTATCTGATGCACAGTTGGAAACACTGGTGATCAGGATGCTCACAGAACTGGTTGATTTCGGTTGCAAATGGGATGAAAAAAAGGAAGGCTATGCTAAGTGAAATAAAGGGAAATGTACAGGAAATCAATGTCAATTGGAAGGAAACTGGGACTCAAATCAATGGACTGAACCAGAAGGAAGAAAGAAACAACCAATGAGAAAAGAATGAAGAAACAAGAATTTAAAAAAAGGAGGAGAGGCTTAGGAACCTCCAGAACATCTTTAAACACTCCAACATCCAAATTATAGGGGTACCAGAAGGGGAAGAGGAAGAGTGACAAGTGGTAAACTTATTTGAACAAATAATAAAGAAGAACTTCCCCAATCTGGCAAAGGAAATAGACTTCCAGGAAGTCCAGGAAGCTCAGAGAGTCCCAAAGAAGGTGGACCCAAGGAGGAACGCACCAAGGCACATCATAATTACATTAGCCAAGATCAAAATGAAGGAGAGAATCCTAGAAGTAGCAAGAGATAAGGGAACAGTCACCTACAAAGGAGTTCCCATCAGACTGTCAGCTGATTTCTCCAAAGAGACCTTACAGGCAAGAAGGAGCTGGAAAGTATTCCAAGTCATGAAATGCAAGGACCTACATCCAAGATTGCTCTATCCAGCAAGCTTTCATTTAGAATGGAAGGGCAGATAAAGTGCTTCTCAGATAAGGTCAAGTTCAAAGAGTTCATCATCACCAAGCCCTTATTATATGAAATGTTAAAGGAATTTATCTAAGAAAAGAAGATAAAAAATATGTACAGTAAAGTGACAGCAGACTCACAATTATTAACAACCTCACCTAAACAAAAATAAAAACAAAAACAAAGCAAACAGCTAGAACAGGAAGAGAATCACAGAAATGGAGATCACACGGAGGGTTATGAACAGGGGAGTGGGAGGGGGAGAGAGGGGAAAAAGTACAGAGAATAAGTAGCATAGATGGTAGATAGAAAATAGACAGGGGCAGGATAAGAATAGTATGGGAAATGCAGAAGCTAAAGAACTTATATGTATGACGCATGGACATGAACTAAAGTGGGGGGATGTGGGTCAGAAAGGGTGTGCAGGGTAGAGGGGAGTGAAGGAGGAAAATGGGACAACTATAATAGTATAATCAATAAAATATATTAAAAAAACAAATTAGCATCTAAGGTGTATCAGAAGAGAGCAAGCAAAGGATTGAAAATGTATTTGAAGAAATCATGGCTGAAAACTTTCCTAACCTGGTGAAGGAAAAAGACAGACAATTATAGGAAGTACAGAGAGTCCCAAACAAAATAAGCCCAAAGAGGCTTACACCAAGACACAACATAATTAAAATGTCAAAGGTTAAAAACAGAGAGAATTCTAAAACTGGCAACAGAAAGACAGCTCCTACAAGAGAGTTCCCATAAGACTGTCAGCTGATTTCTCAACAAAGACACTGCAGGCCAGAAGGGACTGGTGT